TAGTTTGTCAATGGGATCTGAATATAACTTCAACTCCAGAGACAATTTTCCTAGGAGACAATAATCCATTTGTCATAATGAGATGAACACACTCATTTGAGGTTAATGTAATCTGTAGTGCTATGAGGTGTCTACATAGTATCCATTTTACCCTATATTTATTAACATTGCCACTTTTGGGAAACTGTTTGGTCTCTACCATCATGCCACTATCCATCTGTTTCTCTTCATGGAAAAGAATCAACACCTATATTTTGTGAGAATTTTTTATATATACAGATTTTGTATACAACTTCTTGTGTTTTTGTAAATTGCCCAGGAAACTATATACTAAATTTATTTAAATATTTGTAAATTGCCCAAGAATCTATATATCAAATATATATATATATATATTTCTGCTTAGGTAAATTGGAAAAAGTTGTTTAGAAAATGGAATTGGTGTGTATGGTACTCCCCCATGTAAGTTATTTTAATGTAAATTTGCAAGGTGTAAGTTGCTCTTTAAAAAAATCAAGTACAACTTTCAGAAATATTCTGTCTCTCATAAACAAATGGATATACTTTTCCTATTTAAGAAATATAGGATTCTGTAGAGTCCTTGATGCTCTCTCAGAGCTTTTCAAAATACTCAAGCTCTGGAAAATACATTGCCCTGACATGGAGAATTTTGACCTGACAAATTGGCTTATTGGATTGAGAACAAGAGCTGTGCTCATTAAGAAATTATTTGTAAAACAAGCAAATGTTAACATTCCTGTTGAAAGATACAATAAATATTAGGGGTGGGGCAGTAATGGAGCTTGTCACTCTTCCAGAATGAATGGTGTAACTGAAGTGCTGATGGTCACACAGCCTTTGGGGAAGGAGAGAGAAATGCTAATGTAAATATAATATCCCTACTAGGGGTTCAAATGTGCTTATGAGTAGTTCCCTTGGCACTCACTAAACACCCAGACTATTTCATTTTTTCTTAGATTACTTTGACTTGAACCAAGTGTCATATGCTAGAACAATCTTTATCTTCAGGAATGTCCTCTCAGTTTAACATAGACCTCATAGGAAGGTTTAGGATGGGTGGGGGAGTATGGCCCCTTTATGACTTGCAGACTTCAACTCCCAGAATTCCTGAGCCAGCATGGCTGACTCAGGAATTCTGGGAGTTGAAGTCTGCAAGTCATAAAGGGGCAATTGTTCCCCACCCCTGGTTTTTCAAATAATGAAAATGCTCCTGTAGTTTGTTCAGAAATGTGCCCTCGAGGTGATGTATAATTGGATTATAATCTCCTTGTGCTTAAAAAAAAAACCCAGGTAGAACAAAAAAAATTGGTTTATCTCTGGGTGTTTTTTTTTTTTTTTTACTGCTAACTGCTGAATGGTTAAGCACCGCAGGCTAGCCATTTTCTTGGAGAGCCCAACAACATGCTCTCAAAAAGTCAAATATGCCCCTCAGGCTCCAAATGGATACTGATGTGGAAAAACATTTATCTTCATAGTTTATAGTTGCCATCTTTCTTTCCTTCTAAAATTCCAGAAGTTGAGTCAGCTTGGACACTGAGATTAATGTGCATTCAATTCCACTCTTGTTATTTCACCCACAATACAATAAAAGGACTAAGTGCCCTGTGGATACATAAAAATGATAGCTGGAAGAAGACAACTGAAAATGTTTTGACAAACCATTATTTTTGTTTGTTTGTTTTAAAGGAGAGGGGTCTTGATGCTCTCCGAGATTGGTTGTTTTCTTGTAGACTTTTCATTAACCAAACCAAGAAACATCATCAGTTTGTTTTAATAAAAGAGTGTTTAAAGCAAGCATCAACACTGATCCTTTAAATTTTGGTCTATGGCTTTGGCCTAGAATGTCAGACACCAATGTTGGTATAGACCCTTATTTTTATTTTTTATGAATAATTTTATTAAAAATTACAATTGCACCAATAAAAAACTAACACAAACTTTAAAAAAGAATAAACATAGAAGGTGCAGAAAAGAAAAAGAAAAGAAAAGGGAGAAAAATAAAAAATATAGTAAAGGAAAAGAAAATATGAAAAGAAATGACTTTCCCCTTCATCCCAACTTATAAACTATTTTAGTAACGTCTCCTAAAATACAGCAAATGGTCTCTTCTTCCCATATCCCATCTCTTAATCTTAAATCCTTAGAGGCAGCCATGGCCCCTTAATGCTAAGTCTAGTGTACCCCTAATTTTAATCATGTACAATAATAGTTAGGACTGTGATTTGGAACACTTCCAATTCAAATAGGACACCAACCATTCTTTCACTAGACAGCCAAACCATAGATATTGCAGAATATTGTAATCTGCCTTACAAGACTGTAGTTCATATATGTGAAGCATCAGAAAGACTCATGCAGCTATATAAACTATTAAGTATTATGCCTCTCTGAGGAATATTATTGCATCTGCTGCAAATGAGATATGTAGATTTCAAAACCTGAAAGGCAGATTTCAAACATTCTGATAAAGGATTATTTTTTTCCACAATAAGCTTAGTAATAGAAATTTCACTATGCTTGGCACAGCACTCAATTCCATACATGTCCTTGTGACATTCTTTTTCCTGCAGTTCAAAAAAAGCATTTCACACCAAAAATTTAGAAGGGAACCTAAAATGAAAGACATAACAGAAATCCAGAAAATGTAGCTATTATCATTTTTCCAGGTTTTGAGACTTGAGAATCAGAAAAAAAATCTATTTAACTGTTCATATTACTAACATTATTTTAATCTGTAAACTTTTAAAACTTATTCTAATGGATTTTTCAAAATAAAATGTGTAAATTCACATTTGTATTTTCACATCCTCATCAAAACTCCTAATACTCTTTCCCCAGATTTGCCCAGTCCTAAAATGATAGTAGGCAATTCAAGTTCCCCCTCTAATCTGCCCAGGCACATCCAGAATATAACATTTATTGTTACAGCAACAAGTTTGATTTTTTAAAAGCCATTTTCATCAAAAGTCATATCCAGTCATAAAAACCTGAAACACATTATAAGAATGGGGGGGAGAGAACTGAATAATTTCAATCCCACCCACTTGGGGGACACCATGGTTGCTCTCTGTGTCAAAATACTTTTTTTAAAAAGGCATGGCCTCAGCCAGGTTTAAAAGTATCACATTTTTTTTCAAATACAAGAGTTTTCAGATCTTTAATATTAGACTATATCTATTTTTCTTGAGCCCATGTCACCTGAAATTTCCTAGAAGCAGAACACTCAAATTACACCCAAGATAAACCAGGTTGGAATGCTTGCATTTCTATTGCACCAGGGCTTTAAAGTGACATTTTGGCAGACCATATCATAAAAATCACAAACTTTGTTTATTCTGAAAGTTTAGAAGTTTCATTTGCTTAGAATGCCGTACTTATCAATATTTCGATGACGTTATATAACAATTTCAAAAGGAGAGAGTAGAACTGGCAAGGAATTCTCCTTTTTATACCTTTAGTGCCATCTTCTGGCATTTCAGGTGCAATACAATATATTTATTTTTATATTAAAATCTGTTAGAAGTAAATACATTTTTAAAGGAGTTTACAGTACAGAATTAGGTGGTAGATTGTGGAATCACTGAAATAGTTTTATAAATATGGTTTATATAATGAGTTTTCAATACCTAAGTGCAGGAAAGCCCAACAAACAAAGGAAGTTGTACTTAAAATTTCACAAAATGGACAAATGAAAGCAACCTTTAGCAAAAGGAGAATCTTAGGAATCAACACCTCCTTGGGAATGGATGAATTAGTTTTCCACCAATCCATATTGCCATCAAATGTGAGACAGACACTCAAGTTTCATGCAAGATACACAAAACCCATCGTTCTGTTGCTTTGCAATTCTATGCTTAAAATGAGAATGCAACTTTGCACTTAATTATATATTTCAAAGATATCATTTAAAATATTTTCATTTCATAACTTATTTTTCCAGACATCTAACCCCACCTCCTCCTAACATATTTTGACAATTGAAAATGTTAAGGCATAAATAAGTTATTAAGTTATTATCATCCAGGCGGTGAGTATCATCCAACTCACAGGAAACTTCAAACTCCTTGACCAGATCAGTAGTTAGGTATGGAATAGATGATAGCTTACCTTGGTTTGGAAGCAGCAGTAGAGCTGTGTTAAATAGGGATGCTTTCGTGCTAATGCCAGAATCCGTTTTTCTGTCATTGTACAGTCCACATCATCATCTTGAAGAATGACATCTTTCTTTAAGACTTTCACAGCATATACTTCATCTTTACCTTTGAGTTCCGCCAGCATAACCTAAGGTCAAGGACAATGTCTCATTTATAAAATACACTGCACACTTTTCAAAAGATACACTAATAACAACTGGGGAAAAATAAACCATCACAAGCACCTTACAGCAAAATATTTTACAAAGGTCCTATGTACAATATCTATCTGTCTGTCCAGCTACAGACAAATTTGTACATATCACTTAACAATTCAAGGTATAGTTTGACTTAAATCATTGAGCTCAATATAAAAAGGTAAGCAGTGTCATCTCTAACTGAAAAATCAGCTTTTCATGAAAGATAATAGAGTCAAATTCAATACTTGTCATAAAGTTTAGTATCCATGTACCATTTATTGTCAGGGTACCTTTATAATGAAAGATATGCAGAAATTCTTGTGTATGATGAACCATGAAGAAATTTTTGCACATGTTCCAATGGCTTCTGGACAGCTGCTATAAATGAGAGTATATTTGTAATCAATAGCAATATGCCCATTCACACACTCAAAGTAGAGGGTTTCTATTGCTATTAATGTATTATTCTTAAATAAGTAAATAGAGTACTTCACAAGTCTAATTTTAAGCAACTATAAAGGAAGATGACAAAAAAAAGAATATATTTTTTATCTTTAGTGGCTACTTCTTATAAGCCAGCAGGGAAAGGATACAGGGGTATACATATAAATATTTGTAATTCAGGATCTTTGGCACTAATTAGAAAGCCAAGGATGGACACAATGATTCTACTTTGAACCTGACCGATAAATTTCTGACTGATAAAGTTCCATTAGACGTCCCTCTAAGTAAATCAAGGCACATAAGGCTTATAAGATTTTGCAAGTAAACCAGAGAGCAAGCCTGCTCTATCAAGTGTCACAAGCAATAGCCACAAACTCTGGACCTTTTGCCAACACGGTTCAATATTCACCTTCCCTTTACTATACCAAGTGTTTCTGCTTCTGGCTGCATGATCCTTATCCACTTGTTTATGAACTAACTCCAAAATGGATAGGGCATGATGTGAATCTCCTCCTCGGAAAGTTTCAGTCAAGTAGTTTGCATATTCCTTGCACCACAAAACTCAGTCTCTGAATGCAATTTTAACTGGAATAATCAAACTAGGTATTAGCTAGATAAACTGAATAGACCACTGTAGAGTTCTGCAAAGTCGTTGTGTGATCATTTCACAAATAGTCCGTTAGTTGATCTAAGTCCTGCAGATCACATCAACACAAAGCAATTGCAAATAAATTCATGGGACATGCATAAATAGCCTTCTTTAATTAATTATGTAGTTAAAATATATCAGTATTTAGTAACAAATGAGATCACCAAAGACATTGAAAGGCATATAAATTAGCCTTTATATTTGTAATATAATAATACAGATTAAGATGTCATCAGAATCAATGTACATTCAATATAGACCTAGTTTATGCTGCAGATGAGAGCCAGGTTCAAGATTTAGCAAAATTATACACCTACCAAGAGCCTATGGATTGGAACAACTTATAATCAAGTGATTCCTCTTTCCCATAGCAACTTGCCTATTCACTCAGGCACGATAGTTAGTGGCATGAAGCGACATTGTAATATATGAGAGAGGGAGGAAGGGAGGGAGGGAGGGAAAGAACGACAACTGGATTGGAGAAAGCTGCTTGTTCTAGTACTGCAACTATTGTTGTGTATCTGGAAAATGCTGCATCCATGTTCTTACATATAAACATTATGTATACATCCATATATAATCTTATCCTAAAGAACATAGATGCAGCATTGTCCAGATACACAGCAATAGTTGCAGTACAGTACTAGAACAAGCAACTGTGTCCAATCCACTGTTTTCTAGTTTGACTAGAAATACCATACTTCCTAATCAGCAGTCAGGAAAGCCTCCGAGTTGCAGATAGAAACATACAAAGAAAGTGAACCTAGGGAATGTTCAAAGAATATACCATGGCAAAGAATCATGGCAAAGTTGGATCTCTTTCTTTTAATAACACAGGTCTTCTTGAGTAAATATATTGGCCCCAATGAAGATGTTTGGCACATGTCTATGACCTTTAGAATTGTTGGTATCCCTGATTACCTTGCACAGAGCTGAAAAAACCAACAATGGTTCTATAATTATAGAAAGTGAAATTTGTCATTACTTTTTTCACTATTTTGTAACTGCTTTATAGGGTATAGTGATTGGAGCCAGAACAAATACAGTTTAATATCTACATGCCATGTTAAGTTTGCATAGCTGGCAAGCTGGAAAAATAAGCAAAAAATTATTTGATTTGCAAGATCAGAAAAAGCAAAACAGGAATTATCTACATAGAGAAGAAATGTCAATCACCTGACAGAATACTTTCTGCAGTTAGGCTCCTTGACAAACATAATTTAGCACTTCAATGAGTAGATGTCAGGCTACAGAACTTTTCCCATTCACTCAACTAGAATGAACTTCTGAAAACGTATCCAAACGTATCACAAAGGAATTCTTTATTGAGATGAGACAATTCCTGTAGGAGTTCAAAGCAGCGTCTGAGGTCTCTCAGGCATACAGGGATACATAAGGGAGTTTAGAACCCCTCCCCTTATCTTGATGTGTATTTAGTGAAACAAAAGCCAGTATGTTAATTCCTCCCCACCCCTCTTGTTAGAATGAACTATTCAAGAGATTCCCAAAGTACAATCTCACTGTGGAATTTTTATGACCTTCTCATCTCCTGGTTGTGCCTCTCAGAGGTGATAGTTCTGGCCATCTGGCTTTTCTCCCTCCATCGTATCATGTGTGGGTTATACAAATTCGATATAAGATTAAATATATTCAGGTTACATCAAGAAAGGATTTCTTTATCAGCCTCCCCCCCCCCACCTTTTCTTCTGAAGAAATGACAGATACACGGATCTGACAGTAGATATGCATTCAACTCACAGTATAATACTGACTTTTTAAAAAAATCAATCTTTGAAATGAGAAACATTTCTGCTACAGCACTTGTAGAAATTCACAGTTATACATTCTTTCTAGAGTTCTTTCCTGTACATAGATGGCAACATATTCTTTTATAAGAGTAAAACAACAATCATGTGTACAGACACGTGAATAGAACGTAGAGACTGGTCTTCTGCAACTACATCTCCAACATCAGCTTTTGTCAAATTACTCTCTTGAAGATATATTGACATGATTTTCTGTAAGGTCAGAAATTCTAGAAGTTGCAAATCTTCATGCCTAGAAGGCATCAGTTGAGAAAAAGTTGACTACATTATCCATTGATTCAAACTAACCCACAACAGAAGACTGAAGTCAAGATGATCTGACAAGAATCCATTGTACTTACCAGCTTAGATCTGACAGCACTTGATGGGTCAGCAAGTTTGTCTGTGCCCAAAATATATCTGCGCTATGTAGGTGGGATGGGAACATTTAACAAGTAATGCCAAAAATGACTGGAGAAACCAAAGTCAAATTGCAATTTATTTGTAAGATTCGTACAATGGCAGGGATAAACTGAGGAAGTCCACATGACTTTACAAATGACTCCTACAGACTTCGGCGTGGCCAGTACATGACAAATTCGGCCTGTGGGCCGTGAGTTAGACAGTCCTATTAGATTCTTCCTTCCACTCATTTTTTTCTTTTCTTTTCTATTTTTAAAAGTATTTATATTTAAATTTCTAGCTATGGGCAATATACTTTAAGAGCAAAAAGCAAAAACAAACAAGAAAAAATAATGTAGGAATAAAAAACCAAAACATAAATTAAGGCCAATGATATAGCAATGATTGAACTGCCAAAGGCTTATGGGATAAAATGGATTTAACTGATTTTAGAATGTCAGCAAAGTTCAGGCCTTGTGTACCTCTGGGAGGAGAAGGTTCTGAAGGATGGGGACCATCACAAAGTTTGTCTTATCCTCATTTAATGTATTTCACTGGAGAATGGGGCGGGGTACTTTTAACAGCCTTTCTCTAAGTAAATAAACTGGACAATCCAATCCAATAATGATAACGTGATGCATGATATATCTTACTGCTGAACTTTGAAGGAAATAAAAGCACTTTGAACTGGCCCCAGAAGTCTAATATCAACTAACACATTGATGTTACTATTATTCTACATAGATAAGTATTAACTATTATACTATTTGTAGCTTCTGGATCATGTCCAAAGACTATCCCAATAGAGTGCACTGTAGTAGACTAATTACATTGTGATCAGGACATGCATTATTAATGCCAGAGCATCCTGGCCCTTCTACTGGGAGAGTACAACACTGTCCAAAGTAACTAGCGGGACCAAGTTTATATTATGAGGGTGCCAGATGTTTGCTAGCAAAACCATCTTGGTAAGATTTAATCTGAATGTTGTTTCACCTCATCCACACCCCTGTTTTCAGATGCTTCTTCAAGTCTTCCACATCAGCTGCTACTCAGCCTGGGATGCCAGGATATTATTGAATCAAATCAGCCTATTGATAGGATCTCATTCTGAACTTACAATTGATATCTCCCAGAGGTTTCATGAAGAAACGGAGGAAAATAAAGGAGAACTGAGCACTGTTTAACCTCACACTGCTGCTCCCATGAATTCAAGTGCTTCCCTACCTAGAACATAGACTAGCATCACTCATTTATTCAGAAAGGGACTTAACCACTGTAAAATGAATTCTCTTTTACTTCCAACATTTTTTTGATAATCTATTGAATGTTGCTGAGAAGTTTAATAAATAACATGTAATTCTGGGAGAATCTATGGGTTTTTATTCACGTTATCATTTTAAACTTGGGAAATAAACTGGAATACAACTGGAATACAATGGGAAGGAATTGCTGTATATGTTTGTGTTAAAGTACAATAATAAAATAACCAAACTAATTAAAATGAGTAATAATTTATATAATTTAGTTTGGTCTCCTGCTGACTGCTTTTTGTAAAGCCCTTTTATGTGGCTCTTTCTTAATATGCTATTCCAAGGCTGTTTTTGCAAAACAGAAGTTGCACATCTTGGCCATAATTTCATGTGACAAAGAATGTATTTCTATATGTACCATAATTGTAATGGTATACAAGAAAGACTTAGAGAGACAGGATGAAGAGATGCTGCCTAAGGAACAGTCAGATAAGAGACCCCATAGCCTGCAGCAGGATAATAGGTGAAGAAAGGGGCTCAGAAGGGACCCTCCCAAACTTCTCAAGCTGTAAAGGAGATGGTAGGATATCTCTAGTTTCAGACTTGCAATATTTTGTTAATGTACCCTTACAAAAAGTAAAATTAGATCATCTGATCATGTTTCCGGTCTGGTCTACCTGAGAAGCCTGTAATATTTTCATTTTAGGAATAATGATAAGGCAAGTGACCAAAAAGAACCAAGTAGCATTTGTAGGCTGCTCACCTTTCCAAAGCTGCCTTTTCCTAATACTTTAATGAAATTAAATTCCTCCAGGCCCATTCGCTTTGACATCTGAGCTTTGATGTCTCCGTTTTCCCCATTCTCCCCGGGTGTGTTAAGTTGGCTATCAGCTGAGCTTGTTGCTGCTCCCCTATGTTCTTCTCCCCGATTGTCAAATGATAATGCTTTCCTGATGTTATTTTCAAGCTCTTTGATTTCTGTGTGAAGACAAAAAACAGTGCTGACAGGCAAGATATTTTACAAAAACCTCTGCAGGATTTTATATTAATTTTAGAGACATATGAATTATGTCAGATGCTTTTTGAGTCACAAAGAATGAGAGGTTATGGCTCCCAATTTTACCCATACTTTCTTGACTGAATTTAAACTGGTCTAAGGGCAGAAAACAAAAGAATATTGTGGGAAAATGGAGAGCAGCCTATCAGATTTTGGCTCTGCTCCAGGATTCCTTTGAAAGGTTCAGAGCCCTTAAAGGGTTCCCTGACATTATACATTGGAGACTTAGCATGTGACATAGAATTGGGTTGCTTTGACATTTTAAGGCAGCAGTGATAATCTGAGATTCCAGGATTAAAATGTCTTCTGGCTATTATTATTATTATTATTATTGACAACTGGTAGTGTAATTTTCTGCCATTTTGACATTTAAATGCAAATAAAAGCTCTAAACTCATCGTTAAAAAAGAAGAAATAGTTGTGTGACAACTATTTGTCTTTTGACCCCACTCATTGTGGGCACACAAAAGACACTACCAAATATCATTTTTTTCCTTGTTTGAAATGATTAATTATTACATCCCAATAATTGATGGTTTAATTATTGGGAAGTTTTAAAAACAATTACATTGTTGGGTCCAGACAAGATTTTAAGGCTTTTTGGAATCTCATCAGCATTAGAGCTATACAATGATTAAGGGGACGTCATTCCAGGCATTGCTACAAGAAAAATATGCTTCCTGGTTTCCAAAAAATGACACCGCTTAATTGAGAGGATCTGAAATATGCCCATTCTGCCAGATCATATTGGGCAGGAAGAGATCACAGAAGACAGATAGTCCTGCAAATAGCCGAATGCTATTCCAGGTAGGGTTTCACAGATGATAACCAGGACCTTGAATTACACCCGGCAACACAATGGCAATCAGTATAGCTCAAGAAGCAGAGATTAGTGTGCTGAGACGAGGCAATCACTGCTTGAAATGTTCTGGACCAATTGAAGCTTTCAGGGGAGAGGGGTGGTCTTCAAGAAAGCCCCATGTAGTCTGCACTGCAACAGTCACATTGTGAAGTGATAAGGGCATGAATGAATGTCTGAAGGCTAACTGATCCAAATTATGATATTGCTTAAAGGTTGAATGTTCTGTTAAATTAGAACTGGTGGAGCTACTTTTTAAATGACATAGTTTAATCAAAATGTTAAGGTAAATGCAATTTATTTATTAGGAGAAAATAAATGTTGATGAACCTTGATCACATGGGGAAGTCGGTGCTGACTTTGATCTGTCATCTTCTCCTGGTGAGGATCCAGGAACTGGCGCTTGAGATTCTGCACCTGGAACAAGCTAAGAATAATCCAACAAAAGAGATACTTAATCACAGTCATGTGCTCTTCTGACATGACATTTAAGAGACACTAAAGATGTAACTTCACATAACAATGCTTTTCTGCAAAAAGTAACAAAGAGTTAATCTGGCATTGTAATTCTAAAGCAGAATATTTACCTGGTCCATGTAATTTAACAGAAAGGCAGATGAATATACATTTTACCTTTAATCAAAGTTTAAATCTGGAGTTCATTTTTAACCTTTATTCAACCTTTAAATCCCTTTAAAAGTCTTATCTTCTGAAATAAGATTCTAATAAAATCTTCATGCTTAATATGCTTCTAACAAAATATCGATGACATATGAAGCCATGGAAGATACAATTTCATGCTAACATTTAAATATATACAATTTAATCAGAAATCATTGCTGAGCCTGAAGTACCCAACAGTAATGCAAGATAACCTCTAACCATTAAGAAACCCATCCTGGCCACGCCCACCCCCAAGGTCAAACGCAACCCTGATGCAGCCCTCAGTGAAACCAAATATCTACTGAATTGCTTCAGAAGAATGTTATTTCACTGTGTTTCCATTTGACATCATCTATCTCTCTATCTCTCTATCTCTCTATCTCTCTATCTATCTATCTCTCTCTCTCTCTATCTATCTATCTATCTATCTATCTATCTATCTATCTATCTATCT